TCTAATATTAATCAAAGTTTTGGGCGCTAACATACATTATCTCAGGGTATCTTCGTTTTCTTTTCGTGGGCTGAAAATCGCCATTCATACGAGAATCGGACGGTGAAGATTTATTTTTTTAAGGAAATGTTTCATTACTTATTCTTTTAACTAATTCTAATAAAAAACAAATGCTTGGTTATTTGTTTTAAAATTGTGAGTGACATGAAATGTCGAGTGCAAACTTAATTTTATTTTGATTTCTATAGTTTGACAAAAAAATATCTTTATACTTTCTTTAATTTTACCTAATTTTACCTTTACCTTTGATGGTCATCGACTATAAATTTGGAAAATGACAATTTTCTTTCTATCTCGAATTAATCTCTTATAAATTAAAACAGGTCTTGGCTTTACTACACAATTTATAAAGTTCTTTAACTTATTATTTATACTTTCCTTTACGAATATATTACGGCACACTTGTCGTTGTGACGATTTCATATTTTCATTCTGGAGCTCTTCACGTTACCACACTGAATTTATTCTGTTCATATTGTAGCAATTCGCGATGTAATTTTCTCCCGAATATTATTCTGTTCTTATTAATCAGTTTTTAACTTAACATGTTCTTCTATTCTCTACTAATCCTGAACACATGTCCATTTTCTACTTCTCACCAACTAAAATAAAATATTTTTACATAATGCTCTGACGGTCGTAGCTCCTCTCGCTATCAAATCCATCTTAGTTCTGACTCAAAAAGTGTCAACAATCTGTGCTAAATTTCACTTGTTTCATTGTTACTAACTCAACTTGATGCCCTCGCAACCAGGCATCTACCCATCCCTTGTCATGTCAACAATGTCTTTTGTTAATTTCATATACTTTGTTTCCCAAAAATGTTCTAAATTGTCCAAAATGTATTTAACTAACAGTATATTTTCGTTTTCCGATGCCTCGCATCCCCAATGTCTCTTGTTAATGTCTACCTCGACGTAATTCCTCATATTTTTCCTGTTATATAGCATTAAGGTTTTACCTTTTTAGAATATAAAAATCCCGTAAGGTATTTTGCATTCTCAAATTTATGTAGTAGATTACTTCCTCGAACTCGTGTTGTCATAATCCACATTTCGTGGGTCCACCTCACCCTCCGTAAAGCTCCGTAAAGTTTCAACAGCAAAGTTTTAAAAAAATATTGAAATTAAACTCAAAATTTGTCACTTTTTGTTACTAATTTGTTACGCAAAAATGTTTGTCTCTCTTCACTTGATCATTCGGCTAATTTGATGACAAGTTAGCACCCCAATCGTAAGAAAACCAAGAAATTAGTTATAAATAAAAAATAATTATTACATGGGAATTTGTCGTTTTTTGTTGCTCAAAACTTCCATAAAATAAATTTTGTTGATCACACTGACTCGCCGTTGTCACTTCCTCAACCACATTTGATTATTTTATGTAATAAATTGAATTCTCTTAATTATTTTATTTATTTTATAACATCAGTTTTTTATCATATATGGTAATATTTTTCCTTTTTTCGAATATATTTGTTAATTTTTGTGAGTTTGTAGAGGAAATTGTGCAACGAAGAAATATTATTATTATTATTATTATTATTATTATTATTATTATTATTATTATTATTATTATTATTGGCGTATTATGATTGGCGTATATGTCATTACTGACCACGCTACACGATTAACGTGAGTAATTTTTCCACCATCAGGTTTTCAGCTGTACCCCTCAGTGCGACAAGGTTGTGACGCCTTGAAGTGTGGATGAGGGGTGAAGGGACAATCACAGATACGACCATGTCTACGCAGGATTCGAACCTGCAGCCTCCTCGTCGCAGACAGTCTGCGCCACGGGACCGACTTCTTCTTCTTCTTCTTCTTCTTCTTCTTCTTCTTCTTCTTCTTCTTATTATTATTATTATTATTATTATTATTATTATTATTATTATTATTATTATTATTATAGTAAATAATAATAATAAATTACTCTAATAACATTGAATATAACAGAAAATATTCAGTGGAGAAAACAGATTCACTTTTTTCTCAGTGTACACTTGGCATTAAACAAATATCATGCATTAGTTACAATATATCTTACATCATAATGGAAAATATACTTACAAAATAGAATAAAATGCAGAGTTTTACTCAATGTCATTCGTATATTTTTATATCCTCGTTTTTTCAAAACTTCAAAACAAAACGCGCAGTTTTTACCTCTAACACACCGTTCACGCTGTAACTACCGGATCACAGAAAAGTTAGTCACTCGGTGACTTTTTTAAAAAAATTCGTACGCTTCGCAGCGTTAATAAATTTATTTTTTTGGAGATCCGTTAAAGAAAATCATTTTACATTGAAAACGGCCTAAATGTTTTCGTTTGCCAACTATTCTTCCATAGATTACAAGTAATGCTGGAAAATACATGATTTATATCGCGTCGCGGACCCACGAAACGTTTCGTGAGAAGTACGTAATTCGACATTCGAAACATTAAAAAAGCTAGGGAATTTGTATTGGAAATAATTTATTCAATCATAATATACGTATGTTCCCTGCAATTCTAATCAAAATTGTGCAATACAATAAAATATGCTTTCAGATTATTACATTCAATTTAGAGTATGGCAGGTATGAATGGGGCGAGTTGTAAGAATTCAGTACAGATCCCTTATAGTACACTTCTTTGCTAACATGCACAAAACTGCATATAAAGTATTCATATTTTTGGAAAGATTAAAACACCACTAACTCAGTCTAATTTCTATTAACTTATACCTCTGCAATCTCTCTAGTAATCATTTTGATGGCGAATATATATATATATATATATATATATATATATATATATATATATATATATATATATTCAGTTAAATACTCTTTTGTATGTTTATGTGATAGGGTGTTAAGTTTAATAAGAATAAGTAGTTAGTCACATTCATTTGTAAATCGGATTTTGAACGCTTAAGAACGTAACTCTCAGAAGTCGAACGTAATAAGTTAAATGTGCTTTCACTTTGTAGCATTACTCACAGCTTTTCTCCGTATTCACTTAAAGTTCTTCAAATTTAATAAGTTTGACACAACAAACCACGTATTTGGAAATTTCTTACAATATTTTGGCCGGATCTGAAAACAAATTATCAGTTCTCCACTAGGAGTCAGAGGCGCGTCGAATGACACCTCATATGTCTCGATTGGTGCATGGGAAGCGGTAAGTGACAAATTGGCACACGCATACTCGCAGTTACTCAAATTCTATGTAGGGGCTAGTTTGATTTAGCGTCGCCGACGCTGTGAACTGTTTTAAAAGTATTTTCATGTGTTAAAAGTTTATGTCATCCTTAGGTTTGTTCGAATAAATTCTTACATTCCTTAACATTGGACTTACCAATTAATCGTAGTAGCTAATAATGTTTTAAATCTATTCAAAAATTTCCAATCCCAAATTGCCTAGTATGTTACCTCCATAGGGGATATGAACAGGTAATATTGCAATTTCAAAATTATAAACGCCGTAAATACTTGCAGGCACGAATGGTGCTGAATGGTTAGAATTTAGTACAGATACATTTTTTTTACGATTTCTTTGCTAATATGCATTTAAAAAAATCATGTGTAAGCTGCTCTTCAGCGTTATTATCTAACAAGATCATTTTCAATTAGTTCCCAAAATTGTCTACTACTACATTTTATTATTCCCCGGATTTGCTTAACACTTCTGTACTTTTGTCCCCTAATTATTGAAGAGATTAATACTCCTCAAAGTCAGTCTAATTGTGTTCACTTCTGCTTTTGCAATTGCTCTATTTATCGTTTAGAAAGCAAATCTATATAAAAATTAAAAGGCGAATGTTTTGTATATTTATGTGAATAAAGTGTTAGTTACGTTTTAATAAGAATAAGTTGTTACTCACGTTCATTTAAAAATCGGTATTTGCACGCTTAAGAACGTAAATGTGAGAAGTCGAACGTATGGACGTAAATGTGCTTCTGTAGCATTACTCACAGTTTGGCTTTCTCCATTTACATTGACACGGTCCGTGTTCTTCAAGTTGCAATACTGTTCGCAGGTTTTTGAAAATGCATTAAAAAACGTTAATACGGATGCAAATTAAATGAAATCTGCCACGCGGTGATTCACTTGTCGCTTTCAACGTAACCTGCTTAGATCTATTTGGGCGGCGTTGGTTTAATTCACGGCATACTCACTAAGATGACAGCGCTAAAACACGCAAAAACATGTTTTTGGAAATTTTATAGAAACTTCTGGCCGTATCCGAAAAACAAATCTTCAGTTCCCCACCATGAGACCGATTTAATGAAAACTCATTCGTTTCGATTGCTGCATGAGAAGTGGTCTAACCATGAGTGATGGACTCAGAGAGTATATACTCGTATGAGTGATGGACCCACATTGTATAGAGAATTTTTCTCAAAATCCAGAAAAAAAATCTTTTATAATAAGAATTTGAAGATACGCGATATGAAATGTCGAATTATATATATATAAATATAATATATATTATATATAAATATTATATATATTATATTTATAATATATATATATATATATATAAATTGTCCCAATATTGGGGGACAGCCTCCCCCTCCTGAATCACACCCCTGCCACAATGAGACTTGCAAGTTATATCCGCACGTTTTCTTGAGTTCCGGAGTATCCACCCCTACTCCTTTCCCAACATTAGTTGCATTAAGAATAAATGATAGCAGTAAGAGTTGAAGACAACATCTGGTGACGAGGAATGTTCGCTCCCGTTTATTAAAACTCTTTAGCATGGAAAAATGAACTCTACAATTTCAACGTAAAATACATTTTGTCAAAATAACAAAACTCCCCACTTCTCTTGCATCTAGCGAAGCGAGGGCTCAAGAAACGTGCGAGTATAATACGTTCGCGAGACCCGCGTATAGGTGCTATTTATAGTCCATAGTAGGCGCTATTGTCGCCTGCAGTGGCAGCCCTGGAGGGACAGTGGATTGCGGTGGATTGGTGGACGAGTGCCACCGAAGGATCTCGTAGGAAGTGTCATGAACTGAGCGGGATGTCAGGTGCCGTGGTTGACCCTAGGCATTGCGTTTCTTGATCAAACTTCTTTATTGCCTCGCATCGATTTGGTGAGGGTATTTGTGCCCAAATCAATGTCGTTTGCAGTGTACTTGTTTTCCATGTAACGAAGAGCCAGAAAAACACGCAACATGGCTGAAGTCGGTGGGTTGATATTGAGTATTATTTTGTGCAACAATAACTTTGTATTTGTGAGATAACTCTGCCAACTACACATCATCAGTCGCAATGAAACCTATTAATGAACGACTGGTTTTCTAGATGTTCGCTTTATAACGTGTAGTTTTATTATAATGTTCATTGACACTTCAGTTCTCATCTTTCTCGTTGTAGGGAACGTTGAAAGGCCGATCATGTTCAGAAATATACAATTTGTAGATAGTGCTTGTTTTTCGTGTGCTAAAATGTTTTTACATTTGTGTAAAATGTGTAATGGACCTTAAAACATTTATTTCAGAAAAAATAGAAACCACTCTAGATTTATCAAAACAGGGTTTGAAGAAACTTACCAAAGTACAACCTCAAGACACAGCAGGTGTTACTACATTGATTCTTGATTACAATGAGCTTCAAAGATGGGATAACATTGACTGTTATTCTAGTCTTAAAAAGGTAAATAAATCTTTAATGCTCAATTTATTTAATTACATTTTATTATAAAAATATTTTTGTTATTGTAGTTATCTGCTTCTCACAATCAACTTCTGCGAATGTATGGTGTTTCACGCCTTCACCACCTTTGCTCATTGAACTTGTCATATAATAGTATTCTTACCATAGAAGGTTTGAAAGAATTAGTTCATTTAAAGTGGTTATGTTTGGCTTCAAATAATATCAAGGTAAGTATGTTGTAAATTTTAAATACCTAAATTAAAATAATATCATGATATTTAATTCAATTAATAATATAATTATTAACTATAATTTTATCTACAGACTATTGAACATCTTCATACTAATATACACTTGGAACATTTGGATTTATCTGAGAATAGTATTACTCATATAGCAGATGTGTCGTTTTTGAAGAATCTCAAAGTAAGTAGTTTTAATATCATTGGTGTTTAAAAATTGAGAACAACAGTTAAGATTACACCATCTTCAAATGTTGCAGCAACTACTCTTGCATGGGAATAGGATTTCACAGCTGCGTCAGTGTGACCGTCATTTACCTCCTGGCCTTACAATACTCACTCTTGCTCACAATAATATGGGTGATCTCAATGACATGTCTCATCTGGCGCACTTGACTAACCTGCGTGAGTTTTCAATCGCTGGAAACCCATGTGTCAACATGACTGGAAGTTCTATGTATCCTTGTGCCTGCTTGTGTCTGATATTTTCATTGATTGTTTGAAGCATAGTGGCTTTTCCAATGTTTTGGATCATTAAATTAGCTTCTATAGATATTCTTTGGTGTGTTTCATAGGGCGTTAGATTGTGTATGTTTTATGTAATTTTCTTATTCATTTTACACCAAATGTCTGGTTTATTTTTTTTCTAAATATTGATGCTAGTAAATAAAAATTTGTAGAGAGAATATAAAGGCCAATGAAATCTGTAATGTTGGAAGGTAATTTTAGTAAAAGTTTTATTTTAATACCCGACATGCTTGTTCAGAAAGTTAGTTGATTATGAGAAAATATTTTAAATAAATTTGTGCAATTGAGCAAATTCTCTCGCTTCATAGGATGTGATTGTTTAAAACTTGTTTCAAAAATAAGACAGCTGAGATGATAAATTTGATAAAATTCTTTCCTTTTAATAGAACTTTTTGAAAAACGTTTATTTAACTGATTTATTTATAGTTGCATCAAGAGCGAGGCTATTACTTTATTATTAGAATTTTACTTGATGTTTTTATCATAAAAAATGTAGGAACATTCTAAAGAAATATTTCTGTACTCTAAATACTACCAATAATTGATTTTAATGCATTTCTAGAAATCGGAAAGTGCTTAGTGTTTCTTATTTGTGATAGAAATATAACCTAATGTTTAGCTGAAGTTGCATTGTGTAGACAATAGTTTCCTTGACGAGCAGTAGTGGCTTCGATTATCGTCCATTTGTCATTAATTGGTGCATGAGCCTAAAGGTGATAGATGGTTATGTGGTGGATGCTATTGAAAGGTAAGTGTTTGTAACTGTGAGACTTAATTTGTTATAACTTTTAAAAACAAAACAACAAAACTATAGATTGTGTGTTAGATTAATTTAGTTCAGATTTGTATAGATTATCATTTATCATTATTCTAGCTAGATTGCTATTGTTTGCAGTAGATAGTTTAAACTTCTATTCTTGAATAACCAAAAATCTGTGTAGTATCGTTGAATTTTTCAGTATAATCTTTCAGAAGTAAAATACCACAACATTTAAATGACTTGAGTTAAATGAGTTAAAAGTAAAATAAATGTACATTTCCTTTCATGTACATCTAAACAGCCTGTAAAAGTCAAAATAGAGCTTTAGAAAAACCATTTCATATTTATTACTGGGAAATTTTGATTTCACAATCTACTAAGTTGAAATTGCAAAATGGTGAAGTAATCTGTGTAATTGTATACTAATTTGATTTCAAGTATTTCTTAAAGCTTAATGTTCTGTTGTTTTCTTTTTCCTTTTTTTTTTAGATAAAATATTTTCTCCAAAATTTTGCATTAAAATTTTGTGAAGAACATTGGGTTGAATAGTAACATAAAAGGATATTTGATGTTCTGCTTGAGTATATTCTTAAAAGATACCACGCAGGGACTTACTTCCTTTAATGTTATATTTTTAGTTTCCCTCTTTTAAATGTTATGATAGGTTTCTTTTAATTTTCTTCTGTATTTTAATTTTTTTTATTATCGTTTAGTCATCACTTGCAATTTTTGTGTGCTCTTTTTGCATGATTCAGAAACACTTTGGTAATCTTGTACTCCTTTGACAAAATATTTCAGTCGACTTGGTTTGTAATTAAAGACACTTACATTGCAGTTTGAAGGCAGAATGGTTGTACTCTCAAGGGCGAGGAAGGCAGTTTCGTGCTGGAGAACAGCAAGCTCTAGCTCAATACCTAGCTGGCGTTTGTCCTCTGTCTGGTGACACACTTCAGACTGAAGAAGAGCGCAAACTCCGTTTAATTCTGAGCAAGGCACAGCAACACCAACAAGCTCTTAGAGATCAAGTCACAACGAATGGTGTGTTCACTTTGTGTTTGAGGTTTTTGAATCAGAGCGAATTTGATGTAGAATTTTGTCAGAAATACATTTTTGACGGTAGAGTGGGTATTATTATCTTGAAAACTGACAATTATGTAAGAGTTTTAATCTATAAATATAATGCAACAATCCTGTTTCAGATGTATAGAATGCATTATTATAAACTAAAACAATTGTTAATCCTTGCCTGCTTCCCTTTTCCCCTTGCCTTGCCTAGAGGACAAATTTCACCAAGCAATATTTTTGGGTATTCTAGTGATCTACTGGTAATAAGTGCAGTGTGGCATTAATTTGTTCATGAACTACCCTCACATTTTGTACAGCCTGTAGGATGCCAACCATGTAATTTGCTTGGTGTTTCACCATCATAATTTGCAAGTAGTGTATGTTTTTTTCTCAACTCTGTAATGTGCAGAAAATGAGAGATGTTTGTCTAGAAGTGGGCCCTAAAAAAACAAGAGATCCTAAATTCGTGAAAATGAATTTTCACGTTTCATGTTGAATCTGGAAAAAACGTTTGGAGGAAATCAAAATAATTTCATTCAGTGGGCAGTAAACCACTTCGTTCATTCCATAGATCCTGCAACAAATAGTATTGAACCCAGTTGGCATCCCCTTCTCAAAAGACTGGCCCAAGCAGGTGTGAACCATAAGGACATGGCTGTGTACTTAGCGGGGTATTTGTGGATGCAAGATTTCTAGAGGTTATGACAGAATTTTTTTTGGACAAGGATGGAATATATTAGAGAGAAATAAATTGGCATAAATCGGTTTCAAAGTTATTTTTTAACTTCTTATATGTCAAATCCCATGATCCTTTTCACACTTTTGTTTCAGGTAGGTTAGTAATTCAGAGGGGAGGGATTATTTTAGTAAAAGTGAATATCGCATGCTACCTATAACCAGGAGATAGCTAGAATCCCCGTGGTTTTAAATACCAGTTGATTTAAGATATTCACTGTGAATTTCTTATCCCATATTTGTGTCCTCCCCTACCTAAACAAATTTCCTTGTGCTGAAAGACTGGAGAACTGAAATAAGAGATGTATTACCAGAGAACAATGTGTTTTGGTGTAGAATTCATAGGAAATTATGTAATGCACAGACTCAAGATTGTTTCTTGTTAATTGTGAAGACCAAATGCCAGAGTCTTGCCATCAATTTGAATGTGTAGCTAAGCATGTATCAGTTCATTAAAGCATTACCTTAGAAGATGCCACTATATTTTCTCAATGTAGTTGATTTGTTGTCATGTGGGACAAGAAATGATAAGAACCAAATTTATCTGATCTTCGCAAAATATCAACTAGCATACAAGCATTATTATAAATATGAGAAGATTAACATAAGCTATGACAGTTGTTTCAGTGATCATTTAACTGTACAGTGTAAATGTAACTGTACAGTTTTAAATACATTTTGAGATAGAATTTTAAAACTTAAAAGTAGTTAGTTATTTTTGATATTTCAAAAACTATAATTGATTCAAGTAAATGTTTTGCAGGCACTGGTCGTCCACGCTCACAAATACTAAATCGTAGTCAATCTTCACCTGCTCCTTCTCCAGCTGCACGGAGAAGAGTTGGCAGCTTCAGGAGTTCAACTGGTAGAACTGCAGGCAAGAATACATGTAATATCCTAGGAATGTTATCTATTATTTTAGCTGGAAATGTGATTTATCAAATAAGATGTACATATTTACAATATTTTCTCTTGCACGAGTTCAACTAAAAAAATTACATATCTAATTAATTAGATAAAAAATATAGAAGGAATTAAGAATGGGTGCTTCACATACTTTTAAGATAATAAACACTGTTTTGAAATGACTTTCAGATTTAGACATTTTGAATCTTAAAATTTATATTCTTTGTGTTTTGTATATCATTCTAACTTTATTCTCACAAAGTAATTCCTAGCTTGATTCAGCAGATTAAATGGCAGGTTAAATGATTTCAACCTACTTGATTCAGCAGATCAAATGGCTAGCTATGGGTAGGAAGTCCGGGTAGAGTAGGGTAGTTTACACATCTCAGTGTATTCATGCCATATTGAGTCAAGCCTGCTTTCATGTCTAAATGCACAATAAATTATTCTTTAACTTACAAAATCGCCTTTTTATCTGTCTTTTTTTATTGCATTTCTCTAATTTGGTGAAAGGCTAAAATAGTCAGATACCACTTGAACTTTCCCCATTCTATTAAATGTAATGTCATAAACTCCTACAACTCGTTCACAATACTCAAACTACTTTCCAGTGTTTTGAAGATGCCGTTGCCTGCCTCTCAATTTCTTTTGTACAATTCTGCAGACATTATTTTAGTTCAATTTGGTGTTGTATGTAATTTGGATTTGGCTGCATCCTTATTGTAATGTGCTAGTCAAACATGCATGCTGTTATGATACAAGCTCTTGCTTCTCCTTGCCTAATAATGTATTAAATTTGTGAAATTTTCTGTGAAACATTTTTCTACAGTCATAAATGAGAGAGAAGTAGATAATATTTTCCCATTTTTTTCACAGTGCATTAGCACTTAAAGAATTATGAATCCTTCCTACTTCATTTTAGGAAAGTAAATTTGCTTTGTTCTATAACAGAAGTCGTAAAAATTTCTTGAGAGAGACAAAGAAATTTATACATTCTCACAAAACTGTTCCCAAAATGTATTGCTCTCTCACAACATGAAAATACAATGCAGTCACAGTTTAATATAACAGTTACATAGCTCCCTATGATTTTTTTCATCCTGTGCAACCACAGCGCTCATAGTGGTGAACAAGAAGCAGCACCAGTTCACTGAGGTGCAGCTTTGTATGCTGTTTACATGTGGTGTGCTGGCTGGTATGTGATTGCGTGATACAATTTTTATGCAGTGAGTTGAATTGATTGTATATTATTTAGTATCTGCTCTTAACTCACTTGCTATTGTCAAATAGCGCTGATGTTTGCATTCTGCATGCATTGATGTGCGATTAAAAATGCCAACAACATACAGCAATGCTTGTAGTGCTATAAATTCAAAATCAACCAAAAGAATTCGCCAAATTTATCCTTCTTTAGGTTTCCTAAAGATCCAGAAAGGTAAGGTTAACAAAATTCTTGAATGTTATTTCAAAGCGTATTTTCACTAAGCTGATTCCATTTAATAATGTTTTTGGGTTAGCCTTTTTTTTATTTATTTATTTTTATTTATTTTTACAGGTTGTAACAAAGTACAAATAATGTTGACATTATTTCGCAGAAGACATAGTCTTGTGCGCGAACCTGCAATGACTAATCATGTATCATATATGTCTACTTGTTTCATTTATAAATTTTTAAAGAAAAAACAAAATTAAAGAAAAAATAATGTTTTTGGGTTTGCCTCCTTATGTTTCATGTATATTTTTTTGGAGCAGAAATTTGCTTATTAATTGTAGAAGAAGTGTAGGGAACTGAAAATGTAAGTGTGTTTGTAACTGCAAGCGGAAATTAGGCCGCAAAAAAAGCTGTAAAAAGTGAGAGAAACTTAAATGTATAGGTTCAAGATACATTACCAAGGAGGCAATTAATGTGCTGGAAAGCCATATTAGAGAGTCCTATAGTTGGGTATTAGGTAATAGATGGAATGATGAAATCAAATCATTTGCATTAAGAAATTTATATTATAGTCCACAAGGTTATAAATGTCTATGTCAGTATTTTCAATTGCCATCAGTGCGAACCCTGCAATAATATGTAGAGGCAATGAGACTTAACTGTGGAATTAATGAAAACATACTTCAACTTCTAAAATCAAACGTTGAAACACTTCCTGAGTGTGCCAAGATCGTGAATTCGTCTCTTGATGAAATATCAATTATGAGTTACATGACATATGATACTTCTAGTGATTGTATAATTGGTCTTAATGAAAGTTACTAACAGTGTAGTTGTTTTATATAAATTAAATTTTTAATAATTTAATCAGACAGTTGCATATTCTTTTGGCTTGTAATGGAGTGAGGGCTGATGATCTTCAAGAATTATTCTTGTGTGTTCTTGGAAAACTAAAAGAAATTGGGCTGCATGTAAAATCCTGTGTTTGTGATCAAGGGTTAAATTACACGAATTAAAGGAACTCTTTGGGGATCAGCTAATTAAAGCCTGTAAATAGTGAGAAAATTTTATTTTTCTACAACAGTCCTCATCTGGTAAAAAGTATACGTAATCATTTATATAATTATGATAACGTGCACAAAACTTGGGAGTGAGAATTCCAAAACTGCTTCTTAGAATGTTATTTCAAAACTATATGAATACAATAGCAAGAGGCACTTCAAATAACCACCCAAAAAGTGTATTGAACTTCCAGAATTTTCAAGAATGAAAGGGAGTTCTGCAACTCGGGTACTAAGCGATACTGTTACTGCAGCTATTGAGACTCTTGTAGCTTGTGCTGATTTTCCACCTTAGCTTTAAGCACTGCTGAGTTCTGTCAAAATATGAAAGATATTTTTGACATACTGAACAGTTGCAATTGAAAAGGCACTGTTAAATTAAGAAACCCCATCACAGATACAGAACACTTAACATTGCTCAGTAGCTTGAGAGATTGGATTATATCATGGAAGTTCGATAAAAATGGACCAAACAGCTGAAATAGAATAATATGTGAGAGTGGTTTATAAATAAATATTGGTACTCATGAACTCTTACAGTGAAATGATTGTAGGTTCTGATAAGTATCTCATGATGAGAAAAATTAACCAAGGTGATTTGGAGAATTTTTTCTCACTCATGCGTACTGAGGGAGGATTTTGTAATAATCCATCCCAATGACAGTTTGTCTGCTTTTAACAATGCCACACTTTGCAAACTTTTTAATGGCACAAAGAGGGTAAGAGGCAGAAGTTATTGACTGGAGTCACCTGATTTCAGTCATAAAGACAGAGAACAATGTGTTTTTTTGCTCTTTAAGTAGCGAAAATAATGTCTGAGCAACCTGCACTTATTATCCAAAATGTTAGTTTGCCGAATGCTCTGGCAGAAGCAAACTCCATGCATTATACATTGGGATTCTCTGTGAAAAAAGTACTTTCAGTGCATAAATATACAGTGTGTAAATCAGCTCTATTGGATTGTGAGTGTTCAAGTGATCATGACTACAAAGATTTACACCAATTTCAGAATTGTTAAATATTGTGATGCTAAAGCAAAATGAATTGTCAAACGTCAGAAATAATTATTGTTTACTTATAGATGTTATTATTATTATGTAGCATAAATGGTCTATGAAACTGTTCAAAGAAATGCCCATCTTGGTAGCTCGAATTAGAGCAACTGGTCGTAAACCAGGAGATCCGGGCTCGAGTTCCAGTTGGGATGACAATTTTCTGAGCAAATTTAAATTTATCATCATAATTTTGAAGACAGTGGATGACAATAATTTTCTTATATTACAGCTCGAGATTCAAAATTTCCTCTTCCTGAGCAAGCAAAGTCTCCTGATCGAATGGTTACTAGCTGCCAAGGTGTGGCTGCAGTAGTGGGTGATCCAGATCCACCTGATGTACCACAGCTTATGTCTCAGAGTCTCGATCCATCCCTTCTGTTCAGTACTGGTAATCTATCTAAAGACAGCAGTAGCAGTGAACAGAATAGTGTTCAAGCTAACCAGAGCCAGGAAGACAGTTCTTCTTCTGGTGAGTTGCTTGTAATATTTACAGTTTAAATATTGATACCTGTTCATGTAACTTATCATTTACTTCAGATTCAGTAATTTTTCCTAAACACATTGTGAATAAAAACAAGATTTTTTTTTATAAAAATGCTTTATCATCCACCCCCATCAATTCAGAATTGATGTGCATGCCTTCCTGATTCTGAACTCCTGTATAAAGTACATGGTGTAGTTGGTACAGAAATTGTACTGGAGTTTAAATTATTTGAAAGATTTATTTATTTAAGCCTTATTTATTTAATTATCGGGATATTTTCCCTGAATTTTTTGTGTAATGCTTGTTTATTTTTCAGAAATAAATTCTGGTGGAAATTGCCCTTTGCAAGCAGCCTCCAAGTTAGTTCCTGTCCCAGAATCTCTAATGAGTCCAGACTACCGTCCAGTAAATCCTGTAGTGAACAGAGTCATGAGACCCCGATCAGGTACTGTAGGTCATACAAATGGACATCATTCGGCACCTGTATCAACTCGTCAAACGGGAAGTGTGCATAGTTCTCCAAAAATGTGCAGGTAAAATGAAATAATTACTGCTGATGTTGTTTTTGTATACATTTTCCTTTTTCCCTACCCTATGTGACAAACTCAGAAGTTCCAGTGATAATTGTTTCTTCATGATGGTTTCCACATCACTTGACCTCCATTTGTTATCTTGCATGTTTTTAGGTTTTATTTATATGTTGTTATAGGAATGGTTCATCAGCATTGTTGACTCTTCTTTCATATTTTTTTGTGTTGCTCATTAATGTGGTGTTATTAACTGCTCATGATTAATTTATGTCCTTCTGTTCTTTCTATTTTGATATGGCCTTCATCAAATTCAGTTTTCTTCTTCTCCACCTCAAGTTGGGTTTTATTATTTATGTTGTTTATTGTGTTGTGTTGCATTTCTTATTATATTCTTTCAAACATCAGGTGAATATATAAAAGAAGATTCATTTGAAATGAAAATGAAATGAATGGTTAAATATATTGACTACCATACATGCAATAAACAAGTCCGAAAATCAAGTTATGATTTAATAAAAATAAATTTATTAAATAAGTAATTGTTAGGACCAATCTAGTATAGTCAAATGTGTTCACCCAGTCACCATATTGGAAATGTAATGCTTCTAAAAACAATTTGAAGTTAAAAAATCAACTGTTGATCAGAACAAATAGTAACTAAAAGTTTTAGGAAAGGTTGATATTTTAAGGGGGAGATTTCTTATAGTTTATAAATACATTTTAATATGCATGGTTATTTTTTTTATTACAGAAGTCTGCATGCTAGTCCTAGGCAGCGTGCTCGATCTGCCATTGAACCTCGTGGTGTTCATTCCTTGCAACAACATTCATCTCATAGTCATGGTCATGGCCATAGACATGGAACACGAAAGCTTTTTGGCCATGAACCTACAAGTAGCGACGAGGACAGTGAAATGTCTGCTTCAAAACTAGAAACCATCCGACACCGAGCTCAGGAAAGGTGGCAGCGTAAAGAAGGTGCAGCCCCAGCGCCAACCAATGCAACTCCTGCTGTGGCTGGTGAGTTGCACACTGGCAGCATTGGATTGATTTAATCTTTTTAACCCACAAACTTTTCAAAAGCGCAAAATTAAATTTAACAACCATAGCACTGCATGTAATGAAACACCTTCATCATATTTTTTTACAATGTACTATACCCAATAAGGTGTAGTGTTTTTGATATTCTGAATGTATGCTTAGTTGTCATAAAATTGATAGTATTGTATTCAATAAAGTCTCACGAAATTTATTCAAAAATACCATCTGGGGAGGGAGGGCAAGATGAAATACATATAAATATATAATCAAATTATGATATGTGATGTCTAAATTTTAACAAAACACTTTTGGAAATTTGGCCATTTTGCAATAACAATGTCATCTTGCAGAATATCAACTTCTACTGAATTCCAACACGTTTCAGAGAAATTATTTAGAAATTTGTTAAGACAACAGAAGTTGGTCTTACATCAGTTTTGATTAGCTTGAATTGGAAATGTTTGCAAAATTTTTCATTTCTCCTGAGAAGTCAGCTATTTAGATCCATGCTGTTAAGACTCATCTTAGGGTTCTTTTAAAATGAAGTTGTAAATATAATTTTACAGGTGGTTATTATTGAACGAATGAACAAACAAACGAACAAACAAACGCGAGAATGAATGAATTAACGAACAAACGAACGAATGAAGTTGGTCACCTGTGTACATGAAGGATTTTATAAATACTGACTTAGAGCTGAGTGGAAAGATTGATCTGGTAGAATTATGAACTGAATATGACATGGATGAAAGAACTGTGATGGAAATTTTGTTCATATTTGAATATCTTTCATTTCTAACAAGTACTTTCTACTCCTCATATTAGTTAGTACTTACATAAAATTAATTTCATTCTGCATCTAAATTTCTAAATTCATTAATTAGTTTCATTTTGCAATCATATTGCAGGTTTATATTTTTCAGTTTATTAAATAAGTGTTAAAAAAAAGAAGATAATAGATTCTAGTTTGTTTGTTTGTTGTTGTTGTTGTTGTTGTTGCTATGACATCATCAACCATTCATGTTTCTCAATCTAAACTCTTGAACAAGGTGGCAATGTTTACCATCCTAAATGCATCCATGAACTTGCCAACTGGTAAGATAGTAGCACACAGATTTCACATTTGTACAGACATGTAGGAAGTGGTCGCCATGATGTTAAAGCTGGTGAGACACATTAAGATTTTCAAGACAAATCAAATATTTATGACAGAACTGGGAAAATAATAGTACATTTTAACATATCAACACTTCCTTTGTTAAAATTAATAAAATTAAGTACAACATGGTATATTTTAATATCTTGTGACATCTCTCCAAATGGGATTTTGTACTTTATTTTGTTTGTTCTGTATTTTAAATGATACATTTAAAACATTGTATGAGTTTGAATCAAAGTGTGTAAGTGTATTTAGTATTATGTCATTTAATTCTAAAACAAAACACTTTTTTTGTGGTGAATGTCAGCTGAAAATGCTGCTGTAGTTATCCAAAGAATGTGGCGAGGATACCACACTCGTAATCTCAATACAGAAGTACAAGCTATATTTAGAAAAATCCAAGATTCTCGTACCCAACAGTATATTGAGTAAGTATCAATTTCAAGAATTTGTTAGATTTTATTATGTGAAGTAGTATTGAATCTAAATTTTAAATTTTTTTCCAGAAAATTATCAAATGATATGGAAGCAACTAGAGCTGCATTAGAAAGTGATCGCAAACTTCAGGTCTTGAAGATGCAAGCAATAAATGCTATTTGGAAGAAGGTAATGAATGGGAAATAACTAAAGAAATTATTTCTAAGTACAGGAAAGTAAATGTAATGTTTTAATTTCAAAGGTGCTCTCAATGCAGCCTGGTGGAAAAGAAGATTCTAGTGGAGCTGGCGGCACTAGTCAGAAATCGGATACAGAAGCAATAAGAGAATTGACCCAGACATGTTCAATGTTGCATTCCCAAGTATGAGCTTCTTTCGTAATTTTTTAATTTTAAACAATGTTTTTTAGAAACCTTAGTGAATTGTTAAAAAGAATTGGAAAAAAAAAGTAACAAGGTAATCAAGGGACATAAATTAGTACAATAGCTTTAATGTACTCTTTCATATTTGCAAATTATTTAAGGGAAAGCTACAAAGAAACTAATTAGCCTGATGCATAAGTGCTTAATTGAAGTTTTTCTTTCTCTTTAACCCTTTGAATGCTGTGGATGTGTTAAAACTTGAAACTTTTCTGTGCCTCGGGGTTTCTACACATGTAAGGCACACACAGTCGGGCTGTTGCTGGCAGCCTCTGGGGATGTTAGGCACTCACAGGCCTGCTGTTACAGGGAACCTCTGGGCATGTAAAGATACAAGGCCGTTTTCCTTCTTTTAATGCCTTTTGCAAGGGGAAAATTATTCCCAAGATTATTTTAGTGGCATCTACGTGTGGTTTAGAACACTAACATTGTATTTTGATGCCATTCTGGTTCACTAGAAACATCAAGATTTTGCTACAATATGAATGCTTAGTGTCAGTTCAGTACCCTCTATGTAGGAATGACCAAAGATGGTTTATACTGTATACAACACTACAATGAACTTTTCTCTCTATCGCTCTCTCTCTCTCTCACTCTTTCTCTCATTCTTTCTCTCACTCTTTCTCTCATTCTTTCTCTCTCATTCTTTCTCTCTCTCATTCTCTCTCTCTCATTCTCTCTCTCTCATTCTTTCTCTCTCATTCTTTCTCTCTCTCTCTCTTTCTCTCTCTCTCTCTCTCTCTCTCTCTCTCGCTTTCTCTCTCTTTCTCTCTCTTTCTCTCTTTCTCTCTCTCTTTCTCTCTCTCTTTCTCTCTCTTTCTCTCCCTCTCTTTCTCTCTCACTCTTTCTCTCCCTCTCTTTCTCTCTCACTCTTTCTCTCTCACTCTTTCTCTCCCTCTCTTTCTCTCTCTCTTTCTCTCTTTCTCTCTCTCTCTCTTTCTTTCTCTCTCTTTCTCTCTCACTCTTTCTCTCTCTTCTCTTTCTCTGTCTCACTCTCTTTCTCTCTCTCTCTCTTTCACACACACATGCACACTAAGGTGGCCTTTATCATGTAGGGGTGGATGTTTTTTCACATTATTTTTGGCACACAACCTTTACTTTTTTTTTACCATAATATTGAAGTATACCAAATATATCTCCATTTTATAAAGTTTTCACTTGACTAATCAAACATGAGTGAATAGGGGATAAGAATGCTAAAAATGTAAGCATTTAAAAATATGTATTTACTCACATAAATGAAATGTATAATTTTGCCACAGTTATCAAATACAATTATTAAGTTGCATGGTGTGTGAAGACAATTATTTCTAATAATATATTTTCGTATAAAATGTTTTTCCCTCATCCACTGTTAAGAATCCATTAAAATCTTGCATAAATTTCTCTTCTCTTTCTGCTACATCATTAACATTGAGATTCTGGAAAGTGTCTTCTGCTTTTAAGTAAAAATCAACTATACGGAGGTAGCTGTGTAAGTTTTGAGATAAACTGGGTTGTTGTCCATTATTACCTTTCCAAGAATGTGAACCAATTGGGAATTGCATGAAAGTTGGAACTTGCTTGGCTTATTGCTAAGAGGCCTATGTTTCTTTCTGTTAATGCGACATTCAGTTGTTGTCAGAATGGAGCCAACAAGTGAGCACGTTCTGGCAGTGGTTACTTATGATGTTGAAAGTGGTTTAAATGAATCTGAAAGTCTTGATAATTTGCAGTAGGTTGTCGAGGACGTTGCGCCTTCCTGTACGACAATTTTTCAGTAGTTTCAAGAATGCAAAGGAGAGACAACTTTGTTGAAAGACAAGTAGAGGGGCAGGCATCCAGTGACTGAATAAAACATCATCGCTCTGGAAAAATTGGTGGGTGAGAACAATTGTGCCATTTAGGTAGATTGAATGGTCCCTACAGATTGGATCGCTGACAGTTTCGAAATGTTCTGTTCGAATATCTTCGAGTCTGGAAATTTGCATCTCGAAGGGGGCGTCACACTTCAACAGAATCACAGAACCGCATCCTTGTGGAATGCTGTGAAGAAATCTTGAAAGGATTTGAAAGGGGCAACTGTAGGTGCATTTCTGACATACTTACTGATGAGGAAATGTGGATTTATCAGTTCAATCGTGAAAATAAGTGTCAGTCTACCGTGTGGATTTTCCTGACGAACATTCACCAACAAAAGGTTAGTGGCATCGAAGCATTGGAAAGAAAACGGTTGCAGCATTCTTCTCCAAAGTGATCATGTTACGACTGTTTCACTGAAAAAACAAAAAAAAAACTGTTACTGCTCTGTGGTACACAACAATATATCTACCAAACGCTTTCGCCAAGCACAGGACTGTGACTAATCGTCCTGCACCAACGCAATGCGTCTGCACTCTCTACCAATCTCACAATTCAGTTCCTGAAGTCAACAGAGTTTAAACTATTGACTCACCCACCTTAGAGTTCTGACCTGGCCACATGTAATTATTTTCTGTTCCCTACAATCAAAAGTCGCATGTGAGGAACGAGGTTCTCAAGCTCTGAAGAAGCTGTTGATGGCTACAAAAGTGAACTTTCAGTACTTTATATAAATAAGCAAAAAAACTATTTCAAAATTGGTTTACAGGAATGCAAAACTGAATAGAATGTAGAGGCGAGTATTTTCAATTTATTTATTTTCAATAAATGTGATTAATCCTTCACAAAAAGAAAAAAATCATACATAATTACAGAAATAAGTACAAAATATCAAAAATTAAAATAAAGTTAGAGCTATAATGAGGATAAGAGTATTGTATAAAGAAAAAGAATATAATATTTGTAATCAAGAGTGAAAAAAAAGAAAAAAGAAATTAAGGTTGTCATTGAAAACACTTAGGTAAAGTCAGGATTGAAAAAGAAGTTTAAGACAAGTACGGAAATTTTTAATGAATAACATTTTTTGTGAAGATGTCGTTATAGCTGTAGTTAGTAGAGTATGTATCGACCCAGAAGCAGGTAGGTTTTCTTGTTCTAATCTGAGGAATATAAAGGAAGATAAGAGAAAGAAGTTCAGGGCAATCGATGAGACCATGTATTTTATGAAAGAAAATTAAATCATAGAAGTTTCTTCTATCCTGAAGAATTTGCAATTTAAATAAATTGTAGAATGTGGAAAGGTCATGATTGAATCTACGATTTGGTGTTCCGTTTCTGAAAGCTATGTGATGTAAAAATTTACGTTGTACATTTTCCAAATGATTGATAGATAAATTAGTGTAAGGTGACCAAATGACAGGCGTATTTAAAAATAGGACTTATCAAAGTTTTATAAAGAATTGATAAGTTATCGGTGGACTAGAAGGATTTGGTGTTGCGCAAAATCAGACCCAGGGAAGGCAGAGCTTTATTTACTGTAACAGTAATGTGTATATTAAAATCAAGTTTAGAGTCAATAATCTCCCTGAGATCCCTGATGTTAGAGACAGTGCTCAGGAACTCACCATTTAAAGAATATGGGTTGCTCTTGGCATTGTCTGCAGGCAAAGGTCATTGCACAACACTTACCAGTGCGGAGTTCTATTTTGTTTGTAGAGCACCACTGTGGGAAGGTAGTGAGATACTCTTGTAAGCGGTAGGCGTTATTAAGATTGGAAATCTTGGCATATATTTTGGCATTGTCTGCAAACAATAAGATTTTACTGTATTTGTTAACAGATGGCCATACATTTATGAGAATATTGAACAAAATCGGACCTAAATGAGAGCCTTGAGGTACACCAGACTAACTACAAACACATCAGACGCATCGTCATTAACAACCACATACTGTCTTCTGCCGGAAAGATATGAGTGGATCCATGATAGGGGTAGATCATTAATGCATAAGCATGAGAATTTGTCATAAAATAACATTATTATTGTAATATATTGTGAAGTGAGGTGTCGTGTAGTGTAGAACAGAGAAATAATGTAGGAAGTGATTAAAGGGTCGAAGTGAAGTGAAGTGAATTCAGTGCGGAATTTGATGATGATGTTTCTTTCTTTTAAGGTAATTTTGAATGTTTTATGAAATAGACAGTTTTATATCATTATTATTGTTGTTATTATTATTATTTTTATTACTATTATTATATAATTTGCTTGTTAGCTTATTATCTTATTTATGCAATTAGCTGCCACTGGGTTATGCCCATTTGCAGTTCAAATAAATTTATCTTTATCTTTATTAACATTGTCGAAAGCCTAGGCAAAATCTGTGTATGCAGCATCGACTTGAGAACCGGATACAAATACTTTAATGGTATAGTTTTTAAATGTACCTAGATTAGTTATAGTAGACCTATTGCTAGTAAAACTATGTTGATAGTCAGAAAGAATTGTGGAAAAGTGTAGTACCAAATCATTTACCACAAGTTTCTTGAGAAGTTTCGAGACAGCGCTGAGAATGGCAATAGGATGGTAATTTAAATATCACTTTTGTCTCCTCTCTTGAATATAGGGGCAACTTTACTATATTTCCGAACTGTAGGAAAAGTACCCAGGTCCAAGGACTGGTTAACGATAAAATGTGGTTGTGGTGCCGTTGGGGATCTCATCTTGTCCAGCACTTACCAGTGCATTTTGAGAAAATATGCTTCTCAACATTATTTCAAATTTCATGTTATTTCAAGTTTCAAAAATTTTCAACATTGACAAATCTTCGAAGAATCTACACAAATACCAGCCTAATCACAGGTACACTGAACCTTGGCCCGTCTTTTCTCATTTTCCCTAAGTCACAATAATGCCCTTTCTTCATGGTTTGCTCGCTTCATATCGATTCCCAAAGACATCCCTTTTGCCCCGGCTCTGTTTGTCTCTGTGAAAATGTTTCATCTTCTTCAATTTTTATAATTTCTAAATCATTCGCATGAGCAGTGTCAAATAAATCATTCGAGTCTGAAATAAACTTACGATAATGATCTTTCTGCATGTCAGACGAACAATTAGAATTGTTTTGAAGATTGTGCCAGTAAGAGTATATCTTTGTGATTTCTTTTTCTACACAATGGTGTATTGCTCGTGTTGGAATCCTGACCTTCTCCCAAAAAATGAAGCATTTGCACACTACTGAATTTGCCCTTTCATGCAGGGGCAGTTTTACCTCATGTAAATAGCATGGATAGTACTCGCTGGTTTGATGGTAATTTACTTTCTGTAATTTGGTGACACTCATTGCCAATTAAATAATTGTTTCAATCACCACTTCTCAAATTAGAAGCCATAATTACACTGCAGTTCACTCAAATAGCATCTAGACCTGATCGTGGCCCTCGCAGGTCAGAGCGCTACATGAATGAACAAATTATTCCATTCCCTGGCTTTACTCCCACATCAACGGCGATGAGGCATGGTCTACCAATCTTTGATATAAACAAATAAGGTTTTTTATTCTTCCTTGTAATAAAAGGAAAAAAATTGGGGGAGGGGGGGAGGCTCGAACTGAAATTAAAACGTCAAATAAGGGCCACCCGAAAAGTACATGTAGATAAGTCTAAACATTAATTTATTTTCCCTATATTTACAGGTTGAGCAGCTCCAAGGATCTATGCAGAGCATGTTACAATGCATGTCTGTGTTGTGTCAAATGCCGGGAATAGCCACCGCTTCAAGTTCTTCTGCCTGCCCACCCACTCTGCAGCCATCGGGAGGTGCAGTTGTTCCAGTTACTGTAGAACCTAGAGCTACTGCCACTCAGACCGACATCATAGCAGTTATCACTCCCCAGGAAGAAACCATTCCATTTCCCTACCAACGAGGGGGATCAACCAGAACAAGACCTTCATCTCTTCCTATTCCCCAACATCGTGCTCCTCATAGCCGGCCTAATCCAGAGGCCCCAAATGAAGTCCAGCAATTTGCAACTAGTTTGGTGGATGGGGTGCTTCGTACTGTTGCTGGAGAAGGAGAACCTGTTGATAGTTGTGCATCAGATGCAGACACCAGTGCCCCTACAATGGAAGATATTGCTAATGGTTGTATAACGTCTACAGAGCTAGAAGGAAATCCTATAGCTGAGCTTGGTGCTGCAGTAGACAGTTGTGGAAGCAATGGTAACGTACCCACAGAAAAGGAAGAGGAGGTAGATGGTGAGGAAGAGCAGAAGGAGGAAGAGGAGGAGAGGGGCGAGACAGGAGAAGAAAAGGTGACTTCTGGAATGAATGAAAGTATGACACGAAGTGTTATGTCTTTGGAAGAAATCAGTTCCAAAGTTGTTGTATGCAAAGAACCTTCTACGTCTGTTAATCTACCAGTGCTTGAAGAAGTATCTCCTAATAACAATCAGCAGCCTTTGCCTACTGAAAACGGTGTTTCACAGCCCTAAGAATGGCTGCTGATGCATAATTTTATCGTTGTGGTAAACAAAGCCTAAATATTTTGCACAAGCCACTTTTGAAATCTGCCATCTTTACTGATAGATATTTTTGAATGCCTATTGAAGCTACTTGGGTCATGTGTTGCAAGGGACCATTTGTTTGGCACGCAGATGATGTTGCATGGTTTAATTTGTTGTTCTCAGGTTAATTGAAGTATAGATACAATTTAGTTAGTTTTGTTAGAGTAATTAGAAAGCTGTTCTTATGTATCGAGTATTATTACTCTTACAGATAATTTCTGTATGTACCTGTATAAACCAAAGCTAATGCATTTATTCAATGATTTTTCATTGAAACAAAATATTGTGTTAGATAATTTTTGAGATGTAAGTTTGTAGTTACAGTACTTTTATAAGTGAGTTTTTTTGCTTGTGGACTGACAATGTAGGCCAGAAGCTTGCAATACACTCAATTTATGTAGAATATTTGTTTGTCATGTTGTACATCTGAGAGCTGTGTTTTTTCCTTCCAGAAGTAAGTATGAATAATTACACCAATTTGAAGAGAGAGCTTGTGATATTTAATTGTTAACTAATTTGGCAGCTAAAGCAAAGTTATAAAACATTTTGCAAACTGCTCTGGGTAACTTCTTCAGTATTATTTGATAAGTGTTTCATATAATTTTTTTTGTTTCCTAGATTTAACATTTAAAAATGGCATCTTAAATTTTCTTAATAATTACAGTACTTCTTTTGATACTGTTTGGTGCAATAAATCCCAATTGTTCGGAATTTGCCTTTGGTTGTGATCATGCAGGCATGACACTAAATCAATTTTGTGCAACAAAAGTTGCTTGTTTCATGTTTTTGCTGCATTTAATCACACTTTTTTGAATAAAATTATACACACTTTTTGTGCCTCCTACTTTTGTGTATTATTTGTGTGCATTTTATGGCAAAAGAACTTCAAATTCAGTGTTATTGCTGCATTTGCAAGTTTTTAAGCGTAGAAACTGTACTTTTTAATACATAACGTGTTGTTGCTAACTTTGTGCATCAAGAGCATTCATGCAACCCTAATCTCCTTTAAACCTTATTGTATTTTGAGATTTTATTTTTTATTATATGTAACTGCAACAGAGTCTGTATAATTAAATGAACTACATCTTATGTGCTTCTGAAGGACAAGTCTCATTACTGTCCTTTCTTCTGCTTCTTCAACTTGACAGTTTCAGATACTCATAAATATTTTGTCAAATTTGTTTATATATACTATTTTCTTTTTTAACTATTAGGTTTTTGTTACAAATGTCTTTTTCCTAGTAGTGCTGTTTGTAAAGGTTGCTGTATGTAATTTATTCGAGATGAATTTTGTAAACTGGAGTATTGAAAAGTATACACTAGAAAAACATTGAGCAGTCAAGGGACATTGATCAAATTTTGAGTATTTATTTGTTTATACTGTAGATGTTTTGTAATTGTTTTGGATTTCAATGTTCTTGGTACTAAATATTTTTAATAGAATGAAAAAATGATAATTTCTATTGTTTCAATTTCATATTTTGTACTATCTTACTTATTTCATACCAGTGTTGTGAAGTAGTCTGTGTTATCTATGAGATGTGTACACAATTGCTATGAAATGTTGAGTGTTATTCTGCAGGTTCTACATGGTGGAATGAAGTACAGCAACGAGAGTACCTATTAATCTTGATCTCTCAATTTCTGAATTAATGTTGCTTTTTATTCTGACAATCTGCACTTTGTCATTAAACATTGAAACTTTCCTCAAATCACAAGGCAGTGAGTAGATGAGCACATCAGTTTTCAGCTTGTTTATTTCATTCTGTCCTGTGTAACCTGCATAAATTTTATGGGAATAAAAGCTGACAGTGCTTGCAGTACAAATTAGGAGATGTCACAGTAAAATGGTTATTGTGTCCAGAATTCCTCTTTAGTTTCTGCTAGGCCTAGTTATTCAAAATGTAAAATATTGAATATGAGTATTGATGGTGCAAATTTATTGCTCAGTGCAATGCTATTTGTTAATTAAACTCTACATTAATAATGTATAGCAGATTAAGTTCCTAGTCAGTTTTTCCATTTAGATTTGTGTTAATGGTTCTGTGAACATTGTGAAGAAGTGCACTCTTTGCTTATGAATTTGCTAATAATAAAAGAACATTGACAAAATTGATTGATATTCTTTCCATCCTTACAGTTCTAATTATACCCTCGCTAACTAATAATTTATAGCTGAATTGCATAAATTGAAGTGATTCTTAAATATTCTTTCACCTTTCAAGTTTTCCCTTTACTGTTATTCTATTGTATTTTCCCCACTATGAATCCTAATGATAAAGCTCAAGTGTCAAAAACAGGAAAATTTAACCTTTAATTCTACTGATGCTGTAGGAGTATGTGCCTTTTTTTGGTTCCTGATCACAAAACTAGTGGTGCTACAGAATGGCACAGACTTTCTTGAAAGAGTTTTCTAATTTCTTTGTTTTGGGCTAGCTTTTCGGTCTTTCCAGATGGCTTCTAACTCTGCCTAAACTACATTTTTTTAGTAACTCCACAATTTTTTGGTTTTCTAATGGTAGATGAAAAATATTACTTAAAGAAGAGTAATACCTTGTCCTATACAGCAATTTTCATTGAAAAATTTGGAGTGGTTTTAAGAAAACAAGCCTCACTGTTAATGCGAAATTTGAAGCTCTTTTTTACAGAAAACTTTCGAGTTTTAAAGAAACTTTATTAGAAATAATTTGTAGCACTTCTACTCACAAATACAACAATGTTTACAAATTGCTGAAAATGTTCAAATCAAGGACGTTATTTAGATATTTCAAAAAAATTACATTTGTGTTCATTTTGGGGGGAAAATACAGAGAAATGAATTTTATGTCATTTTAAAAAGGCATTTAGTACTAACCTTACAAAAAGTTTGAAGAAAAAATTTGGAGCCATTTTTAAGAAAATGGCATTCTAGTGTTTCTGAAAATGTGGAATTTCGAGCTTATTTTCAAATGAAACTTTTGAGAAACTTTATATGACATCACCTCCCCTGGGGACACCGCCTTGAAGTAGCACTGTCCGTGCGGGCGGGGAGGCTTGTGTGCTTCAGTGAGGTGGAGGGTTAAGCCAGCGGTAGCATGAGTATTTTCTACGCATGACTACTGGTAGGGTCACCCATGCCGGACAGGCTAAAACTGAGGGGCCAGACTAAGTCGTGTCCTACCACGTCCTATCCATCCCAATCTTAACCGTATTAATTTATTATAAATTATTAATTTCTTATCTCTTGTCCTTCCCCCATAACGATGTGTTCATATCGTTATGGTTCCTTCATCT